CATAAAATTCATTCAACCAAGTCATGTCAGATACTGCGCTAGATCTAGGAGTATTCAAAAATAAATAAAACAAAGTTATTGCCTAGAGCACTGGGCTAGTGGAAAAGAAACAAGTAAGCCATAATTACAATACAAAGTAATAAGGTTCTAACAGAGATGCAAACAAAAATTCATACCAGGGGAGCATGAATTTTTCCCTCAAATTAACCTAAGGTAAGATGACATAATAAATTTATTATACATAAAATAAGAACATATGAGAATGAATCAATAATAATAATGCCTATTTACATGTGATAGCTTTGACATTTTCTACATTTATGTATTTAATAATATATGGGCCATTTTTAAATTGTTTAATATCATCAACCATGATATTTGTAAGCAATTTAAAAGCATCTTTGTATTTTAAGGCCTACCACATTATATGACTATAATATTTGAAAGATGTTGAACGAATGAATACATGAATGGTGATAATTATATATATATCACATTTCTGAATTCACATACATTAGAGTAAGTGGAAAAGAGGAGTCTTGAAAAGAATATTTGCTACCCAATATATCAATAAAGTTCACTAAACAAAGGGAAACCAGGTTTAACAGAACTGTGGTATCCCGGAAAGCATCCAGAACTGCTATGACCACCTTGCAAAGCCCATGGACTTCCAACCCAGAGCCCTGGGGAGGAAGGAGCACTTCCCCTCTTGGTTCCCTCTTGGTCTCTGCCCCGCTGCATCCCCAAGAAGCTGAGAGGAGCTTGGGCTCAGGCACAGACAAGGATGAAAGTATTCAATTCCAAGGGTCCCACTTTTGGAAAAACATGGAATTTTACTTTTACAAGTCTAAAAAAAAAGGCACTTGTGTGCACAGGACCTATGCAATTCACTTTTTACTGTCTCTCTGGGTATATATCCATGATTACAAGGAAAACATTTGGAAAATAAATGTTTGGTGAAAATTTTTGTTTGCCAAATTACATCACTTACATCAACTGCTTCCTGTTGGCCTGAATTACAATAGTTTTTTATGTATTTCTACTCTCCTCTTATACAGCAGTAGCAAATTAATTCCCTTCAAATATTCTGTTTATACAATTTTAATTTTCTAATTTTGTAAATGGCTTGCTAGTATTTTAGGACCGTTTAGGAAAAACAACAACAAAAATCATGAAACCCAGTGAGTGCATGGACAACTGCTAGTCCTTGGCTTAAAATGAACTGCATCATGTTGGAAAAAACAGTAATTCAGGTTTTAAAACTTATATCCCTGCACAAAAATCAATTTGTGACATATTAAAAGACTTGTATGTGAAAGAAAATATAGGATACTCTAAAAACAATCTGCTCAGATCTTCAGTTTCCCAGCTGTTGTTTATGAGTAAGTTCTTAGGTCCTGGAGCCCTATCCTGTACAATTTTAGGAACCTGCTAGTGACTTCAGAGGACTTTGTACTCAGGTTTTTGGAGTTCTTCTCCACAGTTCCCTTCCTTCCATGGCATTGCCCTTCAAATTCCAGTCACTAGTCTTTTTTTAATTCTACCTTAGTTTCTTCAGTCTAGTAAGACTGCTGCTTCCTGTTAGAGTTGCATTCTTTTGCATTCCAATTTGGAAAACACTTTAAAACAAAAAAAGCCAGGATGGATGTGGTGCTAGGAAAACAGTGGGGGAGTTCACATCACATGCTGTCCTTTTTTGAATGACTGTAGTTGTGCAAACTTTGCAACGCTGATTGTCCTCAATGACTTCAAACAGTGCACGTGTTTCCTTCAGTTTTTATGGAATTTTGGGGCACAAGAGTTAATCCAAAACAAGCATCTCATGGCCAGAATTGATGCTTGGTCTGCTGTTTGATTCCTTCTTATCTTTTTTTTTTTAAAAAAGATTTATTCATTTTTATTGGAATGGCAGAGATACAGAGAGGAGGAGAAAGAGAGAGGAAGATCTTCTGTTCAAGATTCACTCCCCAAATGACCGCAAGGGCTGGAGCTGAGCTGATCTGAAGCCAGGAGCCAGGAACCTCCTCCAGGTCTCCCATGTGGGTGCAGGATCCCAAGGTTTTGGTCCTTCCTCGACTGCTTTCCCAGGCCACAAGCAGGGATCTGGATGGGAAGCGGGGCTGCTGGGATTAGAACCAGCACCCATATCGGATCCTGGTGCATTCATGGTGAAGACTTAAGCCACTATGACACTGCACTGGGCCCCTTCTTCTTTATCTTTATCCTTTTCTACCTGAATTATTTTCTATCCTTATCCCATTACTAATTGCTTTTTTAAGGTTGATTTATTTTTATCCTTGGAGGGCAGAGGAAGAAGGAGATGAAGAAGAGAGAAAGAGAACCCTCTGGTTGATTCCCCAAATGACACAGACTAAAGCCATAAGCCAGTAACTATCTGGGTCTCCCACAGCAGGGGTAGGGACCCTAGTATTCGAGCCATCATCGGCTGCCTCCCAGGCTGCTCATTGGCAGAAATCTGGATCAGAGGCCAAGGGATGGACTGGATATCAGGTACTCAGATATGAGTCGTGGGCATCCCCCAAATAGGCTCACCCTGCTGTGCCACAATACCTTCTCCTACAATTCCATTATTGGTTATTTTATACCATACCTCTAATGATGTTAATATCTGATGGTTTCTGTAAACTGATCTGTTTTCTCCTTTCAATCACAATAGATTGTTTTGTATGTGTCTTTCATTGTGAGATCATATTTGGTTTACTTCAATATGGAAAAATTCTGGAAGCTTAAGGTGAATATATTTTTTCTTCTAAAAAAAATTTGTGTCTCTATAAACTTAGAAGCAGGTATGTTACAGATCTGGGATACAACATTTCCAACTGTTCTTTAAAAATTATGTTTAGGTTTGGGTCATGTGGTAACCAAAACGGCTAATTCTCTACCTGCAAGTGCCAGCATCCCATATAGGTGCTGGTTCATATTCTAGCTGCTCCACTTCCCATCCAGCTCCTTACTTGTGGCCTGGGAAATTAGTGGAGGGTAGCCCGGATCCTTCGGCTCTTGCACCCATGTGGGAGAACAGGAGGAGGTTTCTGGTTCCCAGCTTTGGATTAGCTCAGCTCTGGCTGTTAAGGCCATTTGGGGGAATAAACCAGTAGATGGAAATCTCTCTGTCTCTCCTCTGTTTAAAATCTTAATTTTTTTTTTTTGTAAAAGAAATTATGTTTAGATCATTCACCATCTTATTCCCTCTTGCTCTAAAATGTCTCTGATTTTTTTTTAACATGCTGCTTTGTTTGAAGCATGAAACCAAAAATAATACCAAGGCTTAACTGGGCAGAGCAGGATACCAGAGATTATTTTCCTGGTTCTGGAAATTCTACTAGTTACTGTTAGTGTCATTTTAGGACAGAGTACTGCTTCTGGTGGGCACTTAAAAATGTTGGTAACATAGAAAAAAAGTAATGTTTAGTTATTAGTTATCTGAAAGAATATGAGACGGCAACTATGTTAACTCCTACATAAAAGTCATAACTCTATTCTTTGACAGCATAAAAATCACCATTGAAATCAAAATAGAAACAAAGGGCAAAAGAAAACAATATACTGTAGCTCATCAAGAGACTCAGAGCCAATATATCTACTTATATATACATCTTCTTCCAATTATTTTGGTTGTGTTACATTTCTACAAAATTGCCGTTGCATTGAGTCATCAACTTACATCCTTATTTTCTCCCACATAATCTGGTTGATATTATTAGGTCCCTTCAAACTACAAGTTTGAACTGAGTTTTACACCTAAGTGAATCACAATGAAAACAACTGAATGGATATAAAATTCTTAATATTGGGCCTACTTCTATCTGGACGGTTCACTTTTCCTTGTTTAGTTTTTCATGATAACAAATTAATGCAGTACCATTTCCTGACTGAATAGTTTTATCAGCTGACAAGCCTAGGTCAAAGTTTATAAATACCTAAGCAGCAGTTAAAACAGAAAATGAGGGGGGTTTTATAAAAAATACAATAATAAGAAGCAAATTCAAGAGAAGTAACTCTGGAAATAACATGACATATTTAACTAATAAGAACATATGACTGGAGTATTCAGTAATGTATCTTAATGTCAGCCCCTTCTAAAGATTCAATTAATGAAAAGGTATTTTTGTAACCCCTCGATTAATCAGCTATATCTGGCTCAAATTTAAATGAGAAATAACTCTAATAGTTTCGTCTGAATCCAACATATGTTCATTGCTTTATTCCAAAAATATAGAGGTCTAAAATGATACACACACACACACACACACACACACACACACACACACACAAAATACCAGGCATTGGAAATATATTTCATAAATCAAAAGTTTATTGAGGGAGAAAACAGCTTTAGGTAATTTTTAAATAATTTGGAAATTTCACATCTTATCTCTTAGATGTATTTAATTCTAAAGATTCGAGGTCTTAACTATGTCTTTAAAAACTTGAAATAGCTGCTGGTGGTAATGTAGTTTGTTTTAAAACAGTTGGTAAAATTTTATTTTCCCACATTTCAAGAGATATTACAATTTCTTATTGTAGAAGTGATACTTATTAAGAAAACACATTTAAACATCATTAAGCCACTAAAGTATTGTTTAGGTTTAAAGTATTAAAACCCATATCTCTTCCCAATATTTAAATCTAGCAAACATTAACATTTTTGTATATTTTCAAGAATTGTTTCCTTATACTTAAATAGATTTGTAACAGTCATATTGTATCTATAACTTTGATTTTTTTTTCCCTCAGCAAACATTAAATCATAGAAAATAATGTCATTATTTGAGGAATCCAGATAAGTGAAGGTAGCTACTGAAGGCTACCTGTTTTTTACTGCTGTTTAAAAACTGCTTTTAGAAAAGGAATATGAAATTTAGGTGTTATATGTTTCATATTTTTATTTTCCTCATCATCTCTTTAGGGCATAGAATAATTAACCAACTATGAAATACCACACCAAACATAACCCTTAATGGTAATTTTATTCTTACCTTTTGAGCTGCAAGGTGGAGGGCAGTTCTCTTGCTATGGTCAGTTTTGTTGACATCTGCCCCTGCCTTCAAAAGAGCATCTGCACAATCCAGTCTGTCAGCCAACACACAATACATAAGTGGTGTTCTGCCAAATTGATCTTCTTTGTCTTTAAGAGCAGGGTTTCCTATAAATATAAGGAACAGACAATGATTACTTCACAATTGTTATTGTTAACACAAGAAGGAACTATGCTTAACTCTGAGGTTAAAATATTTATCCCTTGAGTTCAAGCATTTAGTGCCCAAAGTCTTACAGTACTAAGAAGGTAGAGAATTGGGTCTGGTGCAGAAGCCTAGTGGCTAATGTTCTTGCCTTGCATACGTCAGGAACCCATACAGGCACAGGTTTGTGTTCCAGCTGCTCTACTTCCCGTCCACCTCCCTGCTTGTGGTGTGGGAAAGCAGTCAAGGACGGCTCAGAACCTTGGGACCCTGCACCCATGTGGGAGACACAGAAGAGGCTCCTGGCTTCAGATCAGCTCAGGTCTGGCTGTTGTGACCACTTAGGGGGTGAACCAGAAGATGAAATGTTTGTTTCTCTGCCTTTCCTTCTCTCTGAAAATCTGACTTTCCAAAAAAAAAAAAAAATCTTAGAAAAAGAAAGTGGAGAATTAATCCAATTATGATGTTCCGAAGTGGGGCTTTTGAGAGCAACTAGATTGGAGTGGGATTAAGGAATAAGAGTTCCATCAATATTTCATGCTGTTTTTATATAAGACCACAAAGAGGGTGCCATTGTGGCATAGTATGTAAGGTTGCCACTTTCAATGCTGTCATTTGATGTGGGTGCTGCATTATGTCACAGCTCCATCCTGATGGCTTTAGTACTTGGTCCCCTGCTACTTCTGCGGGCAACCTGAAAGAAGCTCCTGGCTTCACAGCCTGGCCCAGACCCACTATTTTGGCCAGTCCCAACCAGTAAGGGGAGTGAACCAGCAGATGGAAGATAACCCTCTCTCTCTCTTACTCCGTCTTTCCCTCTATCCCTGTAACTCTGACTTTTCAATAAACAAATCTTTAAAAAGAGACAGAGAGAGGGAGCAGACAGAGAGATGCACACGCCCCTTGTCTCTTGCCATGCCATGTTCTGCCAGTAAGAAAGCTGCCTTCAGATGAGGCCTCTAGATTTTGTACCTCCAGATCTGTGAGTCAAAAACATATATTTTTCTTGTAAATTTAGCCTTCCTGAGGTATCTTGTTACAGTAATGAAAAGCTGAGTAATACGCTAGGCAAATTATCAAGCACTGAGCTAAATAAATGCATTATTTCATTTTTAATTATGAGATGGACATTAAATTCCTCTGTTACAGGAAACAGAAATGAAGACAAGTTAGAGAACCTGTTGACATCCGTGGGGTAAAATAGTCCTTGGAGATAGAATGCAAACTGATGATCCCAAAGGTCCAAATTTTAATCATTATTTAAAGCTAAGTAAATAGTTTGAGATATACAGCAGGCTATGTTCCTTTTCACTCCTTTGTTTTTCAACCAGTCCTTATTTAGTGCTGACTACACACTAAGGATCATGGTATGTTTTTATGAAGGATACAAACATTTGTCATGGCTGATTTTCCATTCTAGAGAAGATGTAGTAATAGCATAGTAGCTTGATTCTCTTTAGGATTTTTTTTATTAATATAAAGAGTACAAATATCAAGTATTTTAAATATAACATTTAAAGAAGATAACCACAATTCCCTTTGTTCTTCCCTTAAGCCCCTGTTCCTTCTTTGTTTTGTTCTGTCCTTTCCCCTTCAATCTTTGCAATAACATAATTTTGATTTACTTTATAAATTACAGGCTTAAAGCATCACTAACCATAATGTTCAGCAACTGAAAAGCTAAAAGATCACTTGTCTGCAGGCGAGCAGACAAGGGCTAAAAGCAATACTTGTGATTCTCCAAATAGTTATAACTGAAAACTTTGTCCAAAATCAATTAGAACTGGGCAAGGAAGGCAAACTGGTTAAGGACTTTGGAACTTGATGTACAGTAAGTCTCCTGAAGGGAACTTTTCGCCTCCTGTGTATTAGACAGCCTGGGTGCCACATATCCAATAACCTGGAAACATCAAGTGCTACAATCATAAAGTTCTGCAGAAGAAACCTATTCTCTCTACTTACAAGATTACAAAGCAGGTAGTCCTGTAGACTGATCCCATTTAACTATACCTGTTCTACTCTATGTACATGGAACAAAACAAAGTATATCTCTTCCCCTCTCCACTGTCACTGAGCAGACTCTTGAGAGGAGCCTTGTCAAGGATCTTGCCTTGAATTAAGCAATAGATGATAATGAGGTGATATCTTCTTCTTTCTGAAATAGAGTAAAGGCGAATCATGGATAAGAGAAAGTGGGAGAAAGCAGTTCTGTAAACTGTTACTTGAAATCATGGCCATTTCTGAGCAGCCACAGGCAAAACTGATCAGAACAAAAATAACAAAAGATCTGAGAACTGAATCAGGAGTGGAATACTGCCCACATCCTAAATTGGTCTGGGGAACAATGAAGTAGGACAGAGTATAAGAGCCTGGAAGAATTCTGGACACTAACTTGACCTTTGAATCACAGTCTACAAAAGTGAAATAGAATATTTATTCTAAATTTAAAGAGATTGTCAATTTATTAAAATAGGATATTTAAGTATGATTCAGAGTTATAACAAACTAGGCATATTGTCAAAGCTACAATCACAAATTACTAGACAGTTCAAGCATGAAAAAAATTTAAGCAAGAACAGCCAATAGATACCAAAACATTATAGATATCAGAATTAGTTGAAAAATATTTTAAATTAGCTATCATAAAAATGCTCAAATAATAATAAACACTGGAAACTTGAAAGTTTCAGCAAAGGAAGAAAAAATACAGAGGTAAGCTAAGCGAAAATTGTGGAATAGGAATATTTAGTAAGCAAACAACAAAATAAAACAAGCAAGCTTAAAAACTGAGTAGGTCCAGCAGCAGAATGGAATGAGAGAGGAAGGAAGACAGGCTGACAAAATTATTCAATCTGAACAACAGATAGAAAAGATAGAAAGAAGGGTCCTGTGAGACAATAAGAAAATGTCAGTCTCAGAAAGACAGAAAAGAGTAAAGGGATTGAAAACATCAGTGAGGAAATGACGGCTGGAAATGGCCCAAATTTGGTGAAAGATATAAACCTATATATTTAAGGAGTCAAACAGGATAAACCAAAAGAAATCCATGCCGAATCCATGAAATAAAATATTTGAAAACTGGACATAAAAAAAAATCATGAAGCAGCAAGAGAGAAAACTGCATTATGTATAGGAAGAAATAATTTGAATAATAATTTATGTTTCCTCAGAAAATAAGAGAAAAGAGACAGAACATTTTTCAAGTGTTGAAGGAAAATCTCCTGTCAATTCAGAATTTATATTTTGAGAAAAAACATTCTTTGAGAATGAAAATGTAACAACAATGTAAATTTGAGGCCAGCAAGCTTTAGATTTAACAGAATTAATAAATAAATCTCTTCAAATAGAAGGGATATGAGAATACAAATTCTGGAACACCAGGAATAAAGAAATATATATGCATAAATAAATATATGTACATATATACATATATGTGTATGTATGCATATGTGTATATGTATATATAAACACATACACAGATTTATTCACTTATTTGAATGTCAGTTACAGAAAGAGAGGAAGAAACAGTTAGGGTTCTGAGTCCAGCATTTGACTGGGGAGATCTCCAAAGAAACTCTGTTTGAGGTGTTCTCAGACCAGATTCTTGTATGTACTAGCAGGTACAGGGCCCAGCACAGTCCAACCACCTCAGCTGGTGGTGTGATTGCTGGGTTGGTTCTGTTTTCAGCCCCGACTTCCACTGGAACCAATGGGTGTTGCAGTCCAGCCTGGTTCTGCCCAGCACATACTTGGCCCTCGCATAAACCAGTGTGGGCAGCAGCCTAGTTGGAGCAACCCACAATAACCCCCACCAGGCTCGCCCCCTACCCTGGTTTGCCAGTATGTGTAGCAGACTAGTCCAGTCTGTCCCACACCCCATTCCACCCCAGCCCCTGTCTTGGTTTTCTTGCCCTCCCGTGGGAGTGGTAACCCAAGAGGGAGGAGCCCACTATTACCCTCCCAGGCCTCTCCCACTCCCAGATTATGTACTCTACAGATAGTTCTGTGGTTTGACTTGACAGAACTAGCCCCCAGTGCCAGCTTCTGCCAGCTGATGCTATGGCTAAGCCCAAACAACCCTCACCCACTCTAATTTTGTTTGCATCAGTAGGAATAATCAGTCCAGTCTGGCTTTTCCCTGATCTAGGCCACATGAGGCGCACAGGTGTTGTAGCCCTGCCTAGTCTGGTCTGTCCCCATCCCAGCCCATGCTCTCCAGCGGAGTAGCTGTCCAGCAAAGGAATCACCCCTTATTCCCCTGCTGGCTCCACCACCTCCCTTCCTGGTTCTCACGTGTGCTGATTGGCCGCTGCAGTCACTTCTGGTACAGGCAACCTCACCCTGGCATTCCGTATTGTGCACTAGTCTTTGTTGCGACCGAACCCAGCTCGACCCACACTGTTCTGGTGCTTGGATTTGCCAGTGGATGATGTGGACAGATTCAGCCTGGTCTTCCCCCAACCCTTGCCAAATGTATGCCAGTGGGTAACTTTCCATGGCCTGTTTTATCATGTTTCTTGCACTGTGTCCTGCGAGAGGAGTTGCCAGGCTCCTCCACCAAAACCTCTCCCAATGCCAGGCTTCGCGCATACCAGTGGGTCCATGAGCCAGCCCTACTCAGTCCATCTCCTGTCATAGCAGGAATAGTGGCTTTTCCTAACTGGCCTTCAACCCAAACTGGTCCTTGCTGTTGGATGTTTCAGCCCAGCCATGTCTTGTCCATACTCACATATGGCTCACACACTGTGCCATTGATTCTTGACTTCTTTTTAATACTTCCATCAAGCAGAATAAAATGGTCTTCTAGAAACTCACCAAGGTTGTCAAGTTTCTTATTTTTTTTATATTAAGCATTTTTGTTTTTAGCTCATCAAATATTCACCAAGAAAAATCAGTGGAAACCATATCTCATGGTTTTTAATTTTTTATTAGTTTCATCTCTTCAAAACACTTTCTCCTGATT